AGCAATTCTAGTGTTGTACCTAGCTTTTTTTGCCCCTCCTCGGCCGTCGGGTATAGCAACTTCCTATGATCCTCAAGCATGCGCTCGAACTTAACTTTCTCTTTTTCACTTTCGCATTCTTGTTGTGCATCACGAATGGCATCGTCAAGAGCATCACCGAGATCATCTTCTGCCGCTACCTCTTCTTCATCTTCCCCCATTGTAGTATCATCAAAGGCACCATACTGAGCAATAATGTCATCAATGTCTAAATCTTCTCCTTCACCTTCTTCCATCATGACCCCGCTTTCTCCATGCTTAGTCCAACATATATAGTTTGACATGAAACCTGACTTAACTAAATGTGAATGAAGACTCATTGAGCTTGAATATTCCTTTAAATTCTTACATAGGACACATGGACAGCACATCAAACCATCCCGCTTATTTGCCTCGGCCACAACTAAGAAATAGTGCACGCCCTCAATAAAGTCTTGGCAGCGGCGATCGGCATTGTACATCCAATGGCGTGACATAAATTATGAAAACCTTGAACATAATTAAGTATTTTATTACACAACATAGATGACATACACACGGTTGATTAATTAACTAAGCCTGGCTACAACGTAAGCAATCCCAACTATCACTAAACAAACTAAAACTACAATGAACTTCAGTAACATAATTATTTCATGTCCGTACGTAACTAAAACAGACAAATCATTCGTCTATTGAATATCAATAAGCTTCTCCTGTTGGCTCACTGCCACATCATCAGCAGCCGCTACCTCAAGCACACCCGAATTCTGCACGTATGTAGCATAATCTTCCTCCTAGTACCAACCATCGCATCCATTGTCCTCCCACTGAAATTAAAGCCAAAAAATATTTAGTCAAAAATATTTAAGAAAAGCAGGTCAATTAGCCATAATAATCAAATGCGTAAGAAACTCACATCGCGTTCCGGGCACTTGTAGAAAACACGACCCTTGTTGGGTCCCTGTCTCTTGACTCGGTACTCCATCACAATCTTCTGCTTACACTTGCCGCAGATAATGAGAGGAAGTTTCGGCCTCGATCAAGCCAAGAACCGAACGAGAGGCCGAGGATCCGGTACCAGTTGTCATCTACTTTCTATACTTATTTTTGCAAACTAGTGTAAATTTCACATTTTCTAAAATAATATATTTAAACAAAACTAAAATTATTTATTTATCTAACTAAACCATGAAATATGTACTATGTATAATAGTAAAATACCAAACTATCAACTGATTTTACTATTGTAAATCATCATGTGATTTTGAGCTAAAAATGACATAGAAATCACATAACTCAAAAACATGGTTCAATAAATAACCATCCGTACTAGTTGACCTTGCTTACGTGATCATCTTGGCGAGCATTTCTCCACCGAACGGCACCGTACTTGGCCAAGGAAGAGCTCCGATTCTACGAGGAAGGGAACACGGTCTTCCACGACCGTTGCCGCTCTCCCTCATAGAATCAAAGCTCCTCCTTGACGTCCGTTACCGCTCGACAGAGAACATGCTCGCCGAGATGAACACGGTCCACAAGTTCAACTAGTACGGATTTTCTATAATTTTCTAACTATTTTCTTAGTTTTTCATTTCATGGAAAATTTAATTCTAAAAAATAAAAGGCATGATTTCTAAGTATTTCATTTCATGGAAAAAATAATTCTAAGTGACCTGCTCGATATCGGCGAGCTCACGGGCGTTTAGGTTGCCGAGGATAGTAACATTTGTAGATGACATTTGTAGGTCTGAAGTTATCAAATATCCATCAAATTATAGCTCAAAAACATGTTTCAATAAATAACCATCCGTACTAGTTGACCTTGCTTATGTGATCATCTCGGCGAGCATTTCTCCACCGGACGGCACCGTACTTGGCCAAGGAAGAGCTCCGATTCTACGAGGAAGGGAACACGGTCTTCCACGACCGTTGCCTCTCTCCCTCGTAGAATCAAAGCTCCTCCTTGACGTCCATTACCGCTCGGCAGAGAACATGCTCGCCGAGATGAACACGGTCCGCAAGTTTAACTAGTACGGATTTTTTATAATTTTCTAAGTATTTTCTAAGTTTTTCATTTCATGAAAAATTTAATTCTAAGATCACGTAAGACTTTGATGAACTAATTTAACTTTTGTTTATCCAAACATATATGCAAATCATCATGTGATTTTGAGCTAAAAATGACATAAAATCATAAAAAAGTCCAACATATAAAGTTACACATGCATCTACATCACAAAATGAGATAAGGTACTGATAAAACATAAGAGGATTAAGTTTGTTACCTCCAAAATCGAAGAGCAACACCAATGGAGGGGGAGAGAGCAAGAAAAACAGCAAGTTGAAGAACAGAGGCAGTGAGTTTGAATGGAATGGCTCGGGCTCGGGGAGGAAGAAATGAGCTGGTTTATAGGCCGGGATAATTAGTCCCGGTTAGGGGGCCAAACCGGGACTAAAGATTAATCTTTATTCCCGGGACATCACCTAAACCGGGACTAAACGATTTAGTCCCGGCTGGGGCCAGCCGAGACTAAAGATCCCTGCCCCGCGGACGACCGTTGGGCAGGAACCTTTAGTCCCGGTTGTTACTAAAGGAACCTTTAGTCCCGTGGGCAAAAAATGTCGAGGCTAATGCTAAATTAGGATATCATTCTAAAGTCTGTTCTCTAGTAGTGTTACGGTAACAATGCAGGTCCATGAGCCCATGGGTAACCTTTGGACATTCTGCTGTTCCTGAAACCAATCAATTGTAGTGTTGCCTTCTCCAGTTCGTGTGTTTCTCTGGCGTCGAACTACCTGTTTGTTTGTGCAGCTTGGTTTTTCTTCCAGTCAGCAGGCCGACAGCATGACAATAGTAGTAGTTCTGCATTCATCTCTCAGCATTTCAGATTACAACAGCAGCAGCTCGAGTAGAAATACAGTTTACAGCAGCAGGCCAGCAGCGAGCGACTCTTGCTAAGTGCTCTTTTCATTCGACAGTATACAATCTTTGCTTGCTTGCTTGTGTACCTGTTGAGCAATTTTTATTCGGATCAACACTGCCATTCATGGTAGAGGCTGGTTGCCTAAACGGTTCATAAATATTTAATTCTCTCAGATTTTTCTGTAGCTAATTTCCTGGTAGCTAAGTTAGCCTTTTCCTGGTAATTTCAGTTTGCTGTAGCCTTCCTACCGTGTTTGTGCAACTTAAGTAGTAGTAGTTCAGTAGTTCAGTTGCATTTTTTCCAGTGCAGAAGTTTCGGAAATGTAGCATCTATTGCTAGCTATTTCAATTCTTCTCAAGTGTATTAAGCGCCATGCTTCTAAATCCTGTGTTTGGTCTTTGATTTTTCAGGCTACCAAACTGGAAGCAGAACTAGTAGCGCAGAGAAGAGGGCAAATGTATTTGTTCGAACCTATCCTTTTTTGTTTTTAGGGCTGGATGACAACTTTATGTAAAGCTGGATGAAAATTGTGTATGTGATGCTAGATGAAAACTTGTATGTAATTGAAAATGAGCTGATATATGGGCTGTATATTGTATGTGCTATAATAATCGGCTGAAAAAATAAATTGAAAAATATGCTGAAACAGGATGTAAATGGGCTAAAAATATGTTGCAAATGGGCTGAAAACGGATTGAAAGTGGGCTAAAAACAGGCTAAAAAGTGGCCCATCTTTCATATTGGGCTGGGATGCCCACGTAAGCTTCCATGTAAGCATCTATGATGATTGTTTTTTTTAGAATTATACAGTACAACGTCGACGCCCACAATACGCACGCACACTCACACCTATGAATACACATACGTAAACCCTACCCCTATGAGCACATCCGAAGTACTGAGCCGGCAGATCTCGAGATTCACGAAGTCACCACAGGCACCTTGCTGTCGACGGAGACGTCGCCTACCACTGAAAGCATAGTGCTATTAAAGCCTGGAATAAATCCAGGAAAATACGAGCATCCGCGCCAAGTCGAGGACTTTGAACCTAGGTGGACAGGTTCCACCACAAGAAACCCAACCAACTTATCTATGATGATTGGTGATGTGGAAATTTATCTGTGACGGTTATTTTTCATCACAGGAAATGGGTTTGGGCTGGGCTAACTAGGCCTCGGCTCTATAGTGACGTTTAAAACCGTCACCGATTCTCTTAATCCGTGATAGTTTTCAATAAACCGTCACAGGGGTTAATCCATGACGCTCAATCCATGATGATCTCTGAAACCATCACAGATGCTGCATAGTGACGGTTTTTTGGTGATTGGTGACGGAAATTTTCCATCATAGATCAGCATGATTCTTGTAGTGTTAATTAAAAAAACTCTTAGGCGTCATCGTCTCTTCACTGGGTTTCGCCACCTTCGTTATATATTAAGGTGGATTAGAACAACAAATAAAGTTTCTAGAGTTCATAACACTAACCCTAGGTTAGTCCTTTTACGTGAAGCGGTGACAAAACTGTACGTGGGTTAGTGGGAGTGTACGGTCTACTCATCATGTATAGTGGATGTGAGTCATTTAGACTATGAGACAATACAAAGACCAAACATTTTCGAAGTGTAGAGTTGATATGAACCATTTAGATCCGGTGGCATTAGAAAGATCAATTATTTCTAACACACGGTGTTGATGGGGTTCTAATATGGTAAGACAAGTCAATAATTTTTATACAAATCTGGCAAAAGAGTTGGCGATTATATTAAAATGATGAAGAATCCAGACAGGGTAATACAACATAGCAACAGTAACTGGAAAAGGCCACATACAACAACTGGTTCATTCAGGACAAGCCAACGATAAATGTACTCGTCCATGCGGGTATACTGAACCTCTGGGTACAACAAAGTATGGTTCATTCAGGACAAGCCAATAATAAGTTTACTTTAGCAGTTACAGATATCCTTTCATGCACTCGTCCATGCGCATATATTGAACCCTTTGCGCACAACAGAGTATGGTTTATTCAGGACAAGCCAATAGTTACTTTAGCAGTTACAGATATCTTTTCATGTACTCATCCACGCGGGTATACTGAACCTCTGGGTACAATAGGGTAGCCTCTGCTCCATCCTCACCGATTTCAAAATTTGTCAAGCAACCTTCATAGAAAATGTGGTAATAGTGTCCCACTCCGACTTGATTGGCGAAGTCTGTATCTACACATCCATGGAAAATCATAATTTACGTTTAATAGGGAGATGTGTAATGACAATTTTCATGGACACTAAAATTGTTTAGGAAATACCAACAATATTTTTTACAAGTAGTAGTGTAGTACACTCCATACATCAGCCTTCAATGTCGAAGTAAGATGATACCATTTTTGGGATCAATTATGTGTACAGGTATCAGTGGAAATCACATCTGTTCACCCTAAACAATACTGATGTGACCCCCTCTCTACCAATTATGGTGTAACTAATGATGTGACCCCCTTTCTACCAATTATGGTGTAACTAATAATTACACAAACAAGAAAGAATCTAAATCATATGCATTGGATTTTTCAATAAAAAAAGCTTACATTGCCCTCAGAAATACAACTTTTGTAGTTACCTTTCATTGAAGCCAAGAATTCATCTGCAGGAATGTGGACTTTCTCCAGAACATTTCCGGAAAGCTTTTCCCATTTTGCGATCACATCATTTTGAGTCAAGATGTTTTCATGTGGTCTTAGGTATATTGTCTTGTTCACTGCACGAGGATCATCAACAGACTTGATTGTATATGTTGCAACATCATCTTCATCACAAAATATAACTGCATGGTACATATATATGTGTCATAAATACGTAGTTAGAAACCATGTTGTTACTTCTAGTTTTATAAATCACTGTGTAAATATGTCCATTTTGGATATGGTATGCTTTACAAGGGACATGCACAATATTGATTTATGTTCAGATAAAATGGGAAAAATCATGTACATATAAAATCGTAATGTTATAGCTAATATATATTTGTGATCAATTAAACAAACACTATAGTGAAAATGGATATTCATGTCAAATTAAATATAAAAGTAATGATGGACGGAGGAGAGGAACAAGTAGTGTATGATGTTTTACCTTTGACATTGCCGTCTCCATATACATGAACTTTCTCTTTGGGTGGCAAAAGGGTGCGCATTTGACATAGGTTTTGGCAAGAGTAACCAGCAAAGCAATTGGCAGAAACATAGGTGTGGGGAATGTTGGCATCTTCTATCGCCCGTCTTAGGTCCATCTTCTCATCAAATGTAACCCTTCCTGGTTCAAGAGCATGCCCCATCTTGGATGGATCCATGCCGAATTCCGATGGTACAAAACGCTGCATCTCCACAATAACGTAAGTTTATTTAGACTCAGTACCTCTTCATCTTTTGTTGTTCTATATATTGAACTAAATATACGAGAGTCTGCATCTGTACATGTTAAAGGGCATTTTTACACTGTTGTTTGCATTAGTTTCTTTATTCGTAGCTAATGTGAAGTTGGGAAGGCTCAACAAAAACACAAATGCCTCTGCTGCTGCATTGTTGGTGCTCATATGGGATTGGATAGGATTAGCAGCAACGGTTTGAAGACCAGACACTCAAAACCATTTCCGATCTATAAACAAGTATAACGTACTTCGTTCGACTCAAAATAAGTGTACATCATGTAGTTAACTAATTTTAATTTTGACTATTATCAAATAGCATTGACATTTATATCCCTAAATAATTTAATATGATAATATATGGCATGATTAGTTTGATGATGTTTATTTGCTATCATAAACATCAGTGAATTTTGTACATGTTTAGTTAAACCTGAAATTGATTGACTCTTCGAAATACTAGATGTGAGCTTATCTTGGTAGGGACAAGAGTATATTTGTTTGGTTCTTATTCTCTCTCTCTCTCTCTCTCTCTCTCTCTCTCTCTCTCTCTATATATATATATATATATATATATATATATATATATATATATATATATATATATATATATATATATATATATATATATATATATATATATATATATATATATATTCCATTTTAAAAAGAAGAGTACATTCCCTTCGTCTTTGCATAACACAAGCACATCCTCAGAGAGCCAGGGAGGGAGGAGTCGGGACACGGTGGTGTCGCCATCAGGCGTCAGGGATGACGGAGTCGGGGGCTACCAGAAGTAGTAAAGGGCCGGGGGCAGAGTGAGGATTAGGAAACATATTAGAGACGGTGATGTGAAACAGAGAAGCACGTAGTCTGGCAATCAGATGCGCCTGATTTTTTTAATTATTATTTTGGGTGCGTGTGCGACTCCCACGTCCTCCTCCTTCCCATTAAAGATTGAGCTTATTTTTTCCACTCCACTGAAATTTCAACAAACATTTATGGTTGAGGTCGTTGGTGGTGTCCCCAAAATCAAATCTGTGGGCCCATCACAAAGCAAATAGAAGGTGATAGGTAGCGTTGAAAACGGATCAGATTCTATGGAGTCGAATCTTGATGTCACCTTTTACCACATTTTAATTCAGTTCCAATACAAATACGGATCTTTGCGAATATGAATACAAAATAGTGGTCCCGTATTCGGATTTCTATTCGAATATTTACTTAATTCAACTCAAAATGCATATTGTTAAATTTAACATACATAAATAACATTTTATTACTAAATTCGTCGATAACCAAAGTGAAATAAAATCAAAGTACACTTCTAGTAATCATCAATATCGAAGTGAACCAAATTATAATGGATAATATTTAATAAAACGATAGGTTAAGTGAAGAAATTTAAATAAGAATTGTAGGCAACAAGTAGCCATTTTGTTTTATCAATTTTTTTAATTACAAAATTATTACACAAATAGATAATAAAGTTTGTGGATATATAACATAGAGAAGAATAGCTCATAAAAATAATTTAGTTATTAATAAATATTTAATAATTGAATATATAAATTAATGAATCATTATTTATGTAATATCTATCATAAAATCATAAGTTACATAAATTAATTTACATGAGAAAAATAAATTATTAAAATAAATTGCAACAACAAATATATTAGGTTTAAACTAAATTAGAAAAATAAGAAAAAAATAATATTTATGTATCATTAGTAGTGTTAAATTAATACTAAAAGTTACTTATAGATATACTACTAAATAGTTTCAATTCATTATTAGTAAATATCAAAATTAAAGAATTAGTCATTAGTCATATAGACAGAAAACTTTTAAATAGATTCGTTACATCTTCTTCCGCAGATACAGATAAATGTTGAATATTTCATGTTTCTGTCCAATATGTATCTAAAATGGGACAGAAAAACTATTGAAAAATAAATTCAAATACATCCATTTAATATCCACGGTGGAAACGGATACGAACATAGATATCCATATTATAAGTTTTAACAAATACGGATTCTGAGACATCCATTTCCACCTCTAGTGATAGGGGGTGTGGCTCGGAAGATCAGAGATGGAGACGTACTGGAGACTGGAGTAGAGAGGCAGGGCAGCTCGCCCAGGAAAGAACAAAATGGATTCAGGAACACAACTCAATTAACAAAACGGATTAAAAAAGAAGCTTTCTGAACCGCCAATAAGTAGTGGCTAGTATACTGGAACAGTTTGTGAAGTGACGCACCTTGATGTTCCCAGCCTCCTTGATAGCCTCGACGAGCTTATGCTGCAGGAGGAGGTTGTGGCTGCGGAAGTGCACCCCGGACATGGCCGAGATGACCACGTCGGCCTGCGCCACGGCGGCGACGAGGGCCGCGTGATCCTCCAGCGACGCCTCCACCAGGCGCGCGCCCTGCGCCTTGAAGGAGAGCAGCATCTGGAGCTTGTCGATGTCCAGGCCGATCTCCGGCCGCATCAGGACCAGCGTCGGGTGACCCTGCGCCAGGCTCGCCCGCACGATCCGCCGGCCGATGTACCCGGTGCCGCCCACCACCAGGACCCGGCTCTTCTCCATGGTTGGCGAGAGGACGATTGATTGGAACAGAGATGCTGATCTACAGCCTGTTTGCCACCTTGCAACTTTATTACACGGAAACAGAGACGTACTCCCTCCGCACTTGGAGTCGGAGACACGGTGGCGTCACCGTGGCGTCAGGGACGACGGGGTCAGGGGCTAAGGAAGGAGTGAAGGGCCAGGGTCACAACGGCAATTATGATATGTTGACCCTAAGAATAATTAAGAATTTCTCAAAGCGGTACGAAAGTGAAGCGACAACACACAAATTAAACTACTTGCTAATTAGCCGGCTAACAAAAGCTCTAAATAGCATGCGAAATATTAATCCAAGTGCTAAAGAGAATAATTGCTCACTAGGCACTAGGTGGAAACTTGTAGTGACTGTTGTCAACTCAGCAAAGAACATACTCCCTCTATCTCGTAAAAGTGACATTCTTAGTTTTCGAGAAGTCAAATATTTTTAACTTTGACCAAATATATATAAGAAAATATTGACATTCCAAAGTTGTGTGCTTAACAATCCTAATCGAGATTGCTAGGTTATAATATCTCGAGCAATAGCCCTCAAATTATAGCCCCTACTTTAGATTTGAGGGCTCCCCCAACTTTTGAGGGCCTATTTTAGACTCAACTCCAACAACAGCCCTCAAATTAGAGCCAACAAATCTATTTCAATAGACATTGACATAAGGGACCGGCTCGTCATTCCTATTCCTTCTTCATCTTCTGACTAAGCTATGTAGCTGGGGCAGAGCATGGCCATGGCGAGCTCCGCTCGGTGGTAGGCCGGGAAGGGAGCGCCGGCAAGCGCACGGCCACCAGGGCACAGATCAGGGTGGACCATCGCGGGCGAGGCCATCGGGGCTCGGCTCGGGGCAGGCTGTTGCGGGCGAGTGTGCGGCCGCTGGCGCCAAAGCTAGACTCAGGGTGGGCGAGAGGGGTGGGTGGCGCGCGAGCGTCAGCGGTGCATGGAAGGAGGCCACATGGGGGCCCTGTTGTGCGGTGGAAGAAGAGGCCGCATGGGTGCCCATGACCAGATAAGGCTGAGGGAGAGAAGAAGAAGAAGAAAAAAGAATGGTATTTAGACTATGAAGGGGTTTACCACCTTTGTTATTAAGGTGGATTAGAACAGCAAATGAAGTTTCTAGAGTTCATAACACTAACCCTAGGTTAGTCCTTTTACGTAAAGTAGTGACGAAATTATAAGTGGTTTAGTGGGAGTGTACGGTGTACTCAACACGTACCGTGGATCTGAGTGATTTAGACTATGAGATAATTAATACAAAGACCAAACATTTTCAAAGTGTACCATTTGGACCCTGTGGCATTACAAAGAACAAATATTTCTAACACTTGATGTTGAGGGATTCTAATATCATAAGACAATGCAACAATTTTTTTTGAAACAAATCACGCAGAAGAGCGGCCGATTATATCAAAAAGATAAAGAATCCAAACTGAGTAATAAAATAGCGCAATGATATCCCAAAAAGGTCACATACAACAACAACTGATTCGTTTAGACAAGCCAATAGTAAGTCTACTTTAGCAGTAACAGATATCTTTTCATGTACTCATCCATGCAGGTGAAGGTCACATACAACAACAACTCAAGCCAACAATAAGTCTACTTTAGCAGTTACAGATGTCTTTCATGTACTCGTCCATGCGGGTATACTGAACGTCTGGGTACAACAGAGTAGCCTCTGCTCCATCGTCGCCGATTTCAAATTTTGTCAAGCAACCTTCATATAAAATATGGTAAAAGTGTCCTACTGCGACTTGATTGGCGAAGTCAGTATCTGCACATCCCATGGAAAATCATAAATTACGTTCAACAGGGAGATGTGCAATGACAATTTTCATGGACACTTAAATTTTTGAGGAAATACCAACGATATTTTTTACATGCAGTTATGTAGTACACTCCATACATCGGCCTTCAACGTCGAAAGTAAGATGGCACCATTTTGGGATCTTTTATGTGTACAACTATAAGTGGAAAACACATCTTTTCACCCTAACAATACTGATGTGACCCCTCTACCAATTTTGGTGTAACTCATAATTACACAAACAAGAAAGAATCTAAATCCTATGCATTGAACACTAGTAGAGAACAGACCTTTCATCCGATGTTAAAATAGGCTCTAGTCCCGGCATTTTTTTGCGCCCGGGACTAGAGAGACTTTTAGTTCCGGTTGGTGTCTCCAACCGGGAATAAAGGTCCCTGCCCAACGGCTACTGCGCTCGGCACAGCAGCGGCAGAGGACCTTTAGTCCCGGTTGGAGACACCAACCGGGACTAAAGGTGGACCTTTACTCCCGGTTGGAGCCACCAACCGGGACTAAAAGTCCTCAACCTTTAGTCCCGATTGGTGTTACCAACCGGGACTAAAGGTCCCCCGATGGGTTAGTTCAAAAGGGAAGCATCACATCCATTGTTAGATGTGTTGTGTAGGTGGGGCGGTAAGCTACACGCGAGGCAATGCATGGGGTCTTAGGTTCGAATCTCACGGGACGCAGCGGTGGGAGACATTATTTTTTAAAGCTGGGAGGACCTTTAGTCCCGGTTGGTGTTACCGACCTTTAGTTCCGGTTCTTGACCCGGGACTAAAGGACCCCCCTTTAGTCCCGGATGCTTACTCCCGGGTGGGGAACCGGGACTAGAGGGGGTTCCCCACCGGGAGTAAAGCTCTGTTATCTACCAGTGGAAATTTCCAGAACTATGCATTGTGCTCAGACAAACAATTTTTGTAGTTACCTTTCATTGAAGCCAAGAATTCATCTGCAGGATGTGGATTTTCTCCAAACATTTCCGGAAAGGTTTTCCCATTTTGAGATAACATCATTTTCAGTCAAGATGTTTTCTGGTGGTCTTAGGTATATTGTCTTGTTCAATGCGCATGGATCATCAACAGACTTGATTGTATATGTTGCAACATCGTCTTCATCACAAAATATAACTGCATGGTATATATATATATATATATATATATATATATATATATATATATATATATATATATATACACATATATATGTGTGTGTGTGTGTCATATATGCAGTTAGAAGTGGGACATGTTGTTACTTCCAGTTTTATAAATCTCTTTGTAAATATGTCTATTTTGGATATGCTATGCTTTACAAGGGACATGCTCAATATTGATTTACGTAAAGTTAAAATGGGAAAAATCATGTACATATAGTATCGTAAAGTTATATTACAAATAATTTAGTGGAAACATGCCCTGTTATATATGTGCACACTTCACATATGAAAAAGCTAACATATATTTGTGATGAATTAAAGAAACTTTAGTGAAAATGGGTCTTGATGTCAGATTAAATACAAAAGGAATGATGGGCGGAGGAGACGAACAAGTACTGTACAATGTTTTACCTTTGACATTGCCGTGTCCATATACATGAACTTTCTCTTTGGGTGGCAACAGGGTGCACATTTGACATAGGTTTGGGCAAAAGTAACCAGCAAAGCAATTGGCAGAAACATAGGTGTGGGGAATGTTGGCCTCTTCAATTGCCCGTCTTAGATCCATCTTTTCATCAAACGTAACCCTTCAGTTCAAGAGCATGCCCCATCTTGGATGGATCCATGCCGAATTCGGATGGTATAAAACGCTGCATCCACAATGACGTAATTTTATTTAGACAGCATCTCTTCATCTATCGTTTTATATATTGAACTATATACGAGGGTCCGTACATGTTAAAGGGCATTTTTGTATTGTTGTTTGCAATAGTTTCTTTGTTGGTTATTGTGAAGTTGGGGTGGCTCAAGAAAAACGCAAATTCCTCTGCTGCTGTGTTGTTGGTGCAACTTATTTTGCTGCTCATATGGGATGGGATCGGATTAGCAGCAACAGTTTGAAGATGAGACACTCAAAACCATTTCCGATCTATGAACAAGTATCGCGTACTTTGTTCGGCTCACACGATTAATTTAATGATATTTATTTGCTATCATAAACATCATTATATTTTATTTGTACCTGTTTCGTTAAACTAGAAATTGATTGAGGCCCTGTTTGGGAGAGCGTTTGTGAGTCTCGCTTATAAGCTGAGCAGGCTTATCTGATAAGTCACGATCTGGAGAATCTGCTGTCTGAATAAGCTGAGCGTTTGGCTGTCCTGATTATTTTTGATAGATTATCTGTCCTGGATGTAAATTGACCTATGTACCCCTGAGGCTGATGATACCTCTTTTGGTTCGTCACAATGATCTGAAGACAATGGTGGGAATATTTTTAAAGTTTGAGATAGCAATATGGTTCCATTAAGTTGCAATGTACAATAATAATCGAAAATAACATCCATTTGGGTAATGTACACTACTACACAAATAATTTTGCGCGAAACCCCCCGGAGGCCACCGAGGCGGGCACCTATTTTTGCCCGTCACGGTAAATGCCACGGTTTACCTAGGCGGGCATTTTTTTATTTACCACGGCGGGCATTTTTGCCCACCACGGTAAATCGATTTACCGTGGCGGACATCCTAAAATATCCACCATGGTAAATACCTTATTTTCCGCGGCGGACATCTTAAGGCGTCCGCCACGGTAAATCGATTTACCGTGGCGGGCATCCTAAAATGCCCGCCCTGGTAAATCGATTCACTGAAACATATCACCCACATCCCTCGCACCATCGTCGCCGCCTCCCCCACTCTCTCTCTCCCTCTCTCAGCTCCCCGCCTCACCCACTCTCTCTCTCAGCTCTCCGTCTCCCCCACTCTCCCTCTGCCTCCCTCTACTCTCCCTCGATGCAGGCAGCGGCCTCCTCCAAGGGCGCGCGAGGCCTCCAGACGGCGGATCGAGGGCGCGCGGGACGACGGCGATGGCTGCGCCCTCCTCCTCCCCCATGGATCCTCCATGAACGACGACGACGCGGGGCTAGGGTTTCAAATCCAGTGAGTTCATCTCCCTCTTCCTCTCCATCTCCCTCTTCCTCTCTCCATCTCCCTCACTCCTCCCT